CATTTGTCCTTTCCCAACTCATACAGAAGCAGGACTTGTAGAAGATGGTAAGTCTCCAGTGAAGGGCACAGTTAAAGCCGGGTGCCAGTGACCTCTTATGGAAAACCCTGTTGAGTGGGCAGTGAGTGGAAGTTGATATCCTGAGTGCTGAGAAGCTTGAGTCTTCTCCCAGCCAAACTGCAGAACACAGCTGCTGTTGGTTCCACCAGAATCAAGCGACTATTGACACAAGCTAACCCGATCAAAACTACGCTGTTGCTTCTCAGCAACAACACAACTCGAAGTCAATAAAGGCAGAATCTGTTCCATATCCAGGACTATCAGTGTGGTCAGGATGCAATGTTTTCTGAGACACACAAGGTCTCAAGAAAATTCAGTTGACTAATGCCTATTCCCAGGAGGTCTGCAAGAATGTATACTACAAGAAATGGTGAGAAAACCCAGAACTGAAAGACACAGGGACCTGGAAACAATGAGTTGAGTTGGGAGGCAGGCACAAGCCCTCTGAACGATGGGGAGTGACGTGGATTTACACTTGGCAAACACCAAGTGAGGATCCCAGTGAAGACTATGGTGAGAGAACAGGATGAGAAACCTCTTTCTGTGACAGAGGAGCGAATGTGAGAACCTGAGGCTTATGCTTGTCTTGGGGGCGGGGTCAAACAAACAATTGTGGGCATGGAAAAATCGTAAACTTCATGGAAATGGATGACTGCTTACCTTTCCAAATAAGTCTTTCCAAACATGTACATGTTTGATAAATATATAAGAAATTACATTTAGTCATTAAACTTGTCTGGGATACTAGTAACACTGAGACTTTCTAAAAGGTAGAGTCACAATTGTTTTTTCACTTTCTTCGTTTTATATTGGTTAATTTTTTTCTAACGGCACACATCACTGTATAAATTTACAATGGAAGTATTATACTAAAAATAGTAAAAAGCACCATGACTCTGCTTATGATGGAATTAAACATCTCATACTAGAGAATTCTTCTAGTAAAAAGTAGAAAATAGTAAAAAGTAAAAAGCACCATGACTCTGCTTATGATGACATTAAACATCTCATAATAGAGAATTCTTCAAGTCCTAGCCATGAAACTATTAATTGAATATAATCTCTGTCTTTAGGAGTGGGGAGATGGAAGTGTGAACAGTTTTTTTTAAAAAATTTTAAGGCACCGTATTTTGGAAATCTGGATAGTCCAGTGAGTCTTGATTTGAGTCCTAATGATGAGTCAGGATTTGTGAGATAAACACAGAGGTAAACACAGAGTAGTTCTTAGAGGTTCTCGATGGGTATAGAAGAAGCAGGGTGGTCACTCCAGTGCCCCTGGACCCTCAATGCTGGGCAATGTCATGGGAGATGAAGCAGAGAAATGCCACTAATTTGGGAGGAAGTCAGGCATTCGTTCCACTCTGTGTCCATGCTTTTCATGATCAGAAGCCTCTCAGGGCCTTAAGCAGAAGCAGTCCACACAGCTCTCTAGAGGCAGAGTGAGGAGAGCAGCAAGCTTCTTGGAAGAAAGAGTGAAGTCTGGATACAGGCTATGGCCATATTTAGGAAGAAGAATTAATTTGTTTTTATACCATAGCACACACACACACACACACACACACACAAAAAAAAACATGCTATGAACCCACTCAGAAAAAACAAAGCAATACCAAGAGAGTATCTTTAGGACAACTTTAACCCAAGAGTTCTGTCTTTTTTTTTTTTTTTTTTTTAAATCTC